AACGCCCTCCTTCAACACGCTAAACCAACAATAAGACTGGTAAATAGGAAAGGTTAGGCATTAGATTAGCAACCCGATCTCGTAAAAATAAACGCCACTGCTACTGAAACTTCAATCTCCTAGCCTGAAGCCATCTATGTTCCACTGGGAGCGTAAAGGAAAAATAATCCAAGTGTTATTTTGATAACTTTTTATTCTTAAACTTATCGCGAACTTGTTCAGAGAAACAACTAAAAGTGGAATACCACTCAGTAGCAGTTTGTCTGTCACAATTTAATCTAGCTTCACATTAATTAATCGGTGGATGGTGACTAGCAGTGGAATCCAGGGTGCGCATTTCGTCCTGCTTGGGACTCGTTACTGTATGTGATGATGTTCCCATGGAGACTCGAACCTGTTGCCCATAATTTCAGACGTTAAAGCATTATCCACTAGACCACTTGGGTGAAGTAAGCTACCTTTTTTGCAACAGGTCACGTAAATTATTTAATTCAGAGAGGATGAAATGCACATCCTGGATCCTACTGCTATTCATCGTGAACCGAGACATCGTCAAAACATCTGCACAAGAAGCCGACATTTCAACCTGATAGCGAGTACTTCAGTTCAATCAATCGACTGGAAAATTTAAAATTGAATTAAATCATGTGAATTATGCCTAATATTAGAATAGGGGAAAGGTTTATTTGCGAGGTGGGCAGCCTTTGGTTACATGATCAGAGGGATAGTCTGTAAGCTCTGGATAGATAAAATTCAATATATTAGATATTCCGATAGTAAAATTTAGAACAACACATTCAAGCGAACAATATTGCTGTTTTCAATTAGATCTCATCAGGCTTAACTCTAATATATGTAAGTTTACAAATAAAAATTCAAATATAAACCAATCATGGTGTTTTGTCTATAGGATAATAAGATGGTGAATATAAATTGTGCAATTAGTGATAATAGTAGTAATGCTAATAGTAATAATAATAATGGTCTTATCAATAATAAGGATGAAAAAGTGAGGCAATCTGTGATAACACGAATAAGGAAAAGCAGTATGGTTAGACAAACAATTGTTCAGGTGGACGTAGTGGTCGATAAAGGCAAGTAAAAACAAATGAACCGATTAAGTAATGCTAGACTGTAAAGGAAGTTGATGAGACACGTTTTTAATGAAGTTGTGATAAGGTTAAAGAATGATAAGAAAAGGGTTGAAAATATAAACAAGGGGTGGTGTAGAAGTCATTAGTTGGTCATGTTTTAGTAGGCCAAGGGAGGGATAATAGCTCAACGAACTTCTTTTGAATGCATAGTTTAGGTTTAATAGTTCTAATGCCTATTGCCTCATCTGTGTGCAGTAGACGAATGCAAAGTTTATTGGAAAGATTCGGTGGGATACGATAAATTACCTTGAAAGCTCTCGTTTTCTCCGCTATATGACCATTGTCAATTAAATATGACAAAATTATTAGGTCACTGATTGTTTTGTCCCTATCCAAATCAAGGACTTGACTTATGACCAGTGAGTGTTCCTACCGTCATTGGTCATCAACCTGTGACTTCAGTTCTCTATTAACTTTTCACTTTTGCTTAAAATATGTACTGAAATATTCATTAAAGCTTAACAAATGCTTATTATTAGAAATAGACCGTACTAAAAAAACACAAATCCAGTTTTTCCAATTATAATTAGTTACGTAACTTTTGTGTTTAAAAAAGCGTTACTGAACCAAATAAGCTAAAAGAAAGGGGGATGATTCTTAAGACTAATCATAGGTATTCTGTACGATTAATTAGTGAATTCCAGTCACAGTTAGATCACAGCATGATACAGGAATTGAAGCGTATTCATCAATCAGATAACATTAAAAAAAATATAAACGTCTTCAGCAGATTTCACAGACAGTAAATATATCCTTTTCAGAATAATGTAAGAACAAGAGTGGTTTTTGCAGAATAAAATGTTTCCATCATTTATCTCGCTGGCTACTCATAAGCTGCTTACAAGACAAAGTCATTATTAAGCATAGCTACAGAAACAATTTCAACATACTTGCTCTTTGGTGCAGTGGAAATCGACAGATATTCTTCTCGTGTTACCTACAACTACATGTATGAATTTACATGTATCTGCTGGAGCAGTTATATTGGAAGAGCAGAAAGAAAGGCATAACTACGATTTTCTGAACATGTACCAAAAAGCTTATGTCTAAAGGGAACAAATGCTTAAAACAGTGACATTGCCAAGCATCATCTCATTGACACGAGTCAAGAGGTGGACGTTGCAATATCGTTCATAATTATCGATAGGTAAAAGAGTTCAATTCTCCTCAGGTTTATTAAGACGATCTCAATCAAGCAGCTGAAACTCGATTTATGCGTTCAGAAAGAAGTGGTTATCAGTCTTTCCTTGCTTATCCTGGTAACTGAATGTTTTCATTCTCTGTTTCATCTGATTATGTAATGTCGCAAGTTTCCATTGTGTGTCAACATTTTATTGTTCAGCATAAAGTGTTAATTATTATTATGTATATTATTATTGTATGCATATACTCATTGATTGATTTTGCTTAAAAGTGAACTCTGTGCAAGCATGTTAAAATTGTCCTTGTGGATATACTCAGTAATGACTTCGGGCTGTAAGCAGCTGATGAGAAGCCAACGAAATAAACAATGATTGTAACATTTTCTTTAGCATAAAACCACTTTTTTTCTTGCTTTATTCAAATTCACTAAGAGGAATAAATGTATGAAATATCCTATTCTGTAGGCAAATGCAACGTTCGATTAGCTAGTCGACGATAGACCTTTGTTGATCAAAACATAAGTTATCAGTTCATATTATGCTGCAAATTCGTGTATGTGCAGTATAGAAAAAACGTTTAAATGTCAGGATTTCTGAATATGTATTTACAAGGCTTAGATAGACTCAGTAATGCTACATTTCGTCAACTAGTTGACACACGATACTACATGAGCAGGCCTGAGAACTCTGTTTTACAAATAGGAGTTCAAAATTTCCAAGTATAATAGGAATTTTTAAAAAAACACCCCTATTCTAAAAATGAAACGAGCTGTGTTGAACACCATCTTAACAAAGTAGTAATTACTTATAGTTATAGAATACCTAGGAGAGGTATGTTCAAATACTTCACTCAGTCTACCACTGTAACCAAATAAGATAAGAGCCAGGCAACAGATCATTTATTAAGGAAATCATTATATATTTATATATTTTCATGTACATTATTGTAGCTTATTCAAGCAGACAAACGCAGTCTTCTGATTGGTTGTTTTTCACAGCAAGTCGACCTTGCATCTCTTTGTGACTGTTTCTTTAATGTCAAATTAGCTATATGTTAACTGTATCTGCCTACGTAAAGTCTTCTGTGATTGGTTGTTGAATCAGTCTTGTTCATATTTTCTCATGACCAATATTTGCAGCATACCCATTGACGTAAAATACTGTCTACTATTTTTGGCTAGCCTTCTCTCACCACACCACTACTCTTCATCATGGTGATCAATTGCTATGCGGTTGTAGATCCCCCTTGTGCGTCGGTGGCACAGTGGTTGGGACTTTAGCCGATCATGCATATGGTTCGGGTTTCGATCCCGTGCCGACACACACTTGATATCAATGGTCGGCCTGCAACATTTGGGCTACCGATATCACATGCTGAAAATTCCATACCTGTACGAAAAATGCGGTGTGGAATCAAGCTGTAATAAAAAAGAACCCGCAAACTCTAGCTCCAGGGATTCGTGACAATTGTCTTTAATCCTTTTGGGGGGGTTTAAGTGATCATCATTTATTTCTACCATAGATATCTGGTTGAAATATAGTTTTAAAGTTGATATTGTCTCTAACCGACATCAGTTAGAGAACCACTGGAAATCAAAAAATATTGGGCATTTGTTTCGTCCCATTGGGTGGCATTGTGTTTATTATCCTAACTTCCTGTTTCTTTTTCTTATTCAAACCCTTTTTTGTAAACTATAACTCCATCTTGTTCTACTCTGCATTTTGATAAGAAATATTTGTGGGGAATTCTCACGCTACCATTATTTATTCAAGAATATAAGGTTTAGCTGATGACTTCGTCTTAGAGAAAAAGCTTTTTCCGCTGCAAGTATCTTTCTGTTTTCTTATAATTTCAGTGGTTCGCACTACTGAAGACCGTCAAACTGAGATGATATATGTATATTGAAAACGCTGTGATCTTAAGTCATGTATTAACGCAAGTTACGTCACGACTAACGTGCTTTCAGACACTTTTTCAGTCTAAGCTGTTTAAGCTTTGTGATAAAGCGTCAAACAGAATCACAGACTAGACTGAAATACTGTTTACTTTCCCTCATTCTACCCTGTTCCATGAAGTCTTCATCGGCTGGCTGTACGACTGCCCACAAGCTATCACCTCTTGCTGACTTGATTTCCTTCGTTTCACTCTCTGATCCACGCCCAACAAGTCGTCTCACATTCAAGTTCTACTTTAACTCCTGGCGCATAATGTCACTCAGGAGTCTCCTTAGGGTGGGTCTAATCTGCCTCCACTCTATTCTGTATATCTGTCAGACGATAGTCTCTTGGTTTTTTCGTCAACAGTGTTTCTTTTTCAAGTATTGGTTTGTAGGGATTTGATTGACAGGTTACAGGATTTTGTCATCAGCTGACATCTGTTAGATAACTCTTGGAAAACCAACTGAAAGTACTCAGCAGCCGTTTCGGCAGCCTGGTTTGGGACTCTTCATCAGTACTAACCCATCAGGTTTAAAATCCAAGACCTTCTGGTCACCATTTGATCTAGCTCGTAGACCGTTACGCTACTGAGACCCGGTCCATTGGTCACTGCATGAATTCTAGCTTCTGCTATTTCATGACATACCGCGACAGCTAGCCAATGTCTTTGGCGAGTATTTGTCCTCACACCCGACCTGCTGCATCCAGTGTTCCTCTAACCGATGTCAGCTCACAGTGTTCCTTTATGCATAGATTGTCCATTTGTTCATTTGAGCCGAACCCCATGGATCAGAGTATGATGAAGATGGTCCATAATAACCCATACGACTGACTGTTCATCTTCTATTTCAGGAAGATCGAATCCATTCATCATATCCACATCACTATTGTCGTATTGATCACTTCGTCTCAAACGGCCTGCTGGTGATGGTAGTGGTGCTGATCTCATATCATAACTTGGAAACTGAAATCCTTGTTTCCCTTCAACTCGACGAGGAACAGAAGGTCTTAAAGGTTCATCGATGTGAACAGGTTGTCTAAACGAAGATTGTGGTTCTCGTAAACCGTAATCGTCCATATCCAAAACATCTGACTCCATACGTCTGGGTGGCATTTGCGGTCTAACATCATGAGTTGGAAACTGAAACTTCGGTATCCCTTCAGAACGACGTAAAGGACGATGAATTGAAGCACTTTGTGGTTCACTTGGATTAAAACTGTCCATTTCTAGATCACCTGCATCGTGTAAACTTGATCTTGACGGCATTAATGGCTTGACTCAATGAGTGGGGAACTGAAATCTTTGTTTTTCCTCAGAGTGATGATGATGTGCAGCAGCCGGAAGTGGTAGTCTTTCTAAAGACTCGTCCAACTGACTTGGTCTTTTTGCTAGTGATGATCGTGACTGACTTGGGCTCCATGTATCAGGAGGATCCGTTTGTCCTACGAATAGTTTAAAAGAACCAAAACGACGAGCATGATCTGGATTTCTCTCCATGAGCTGGAAACGCCGAATGTAGAACAGGCGGTCGACTATTCATCTGTTTAAATGGTGGTCTTATACTCAGATCCTGCTGATTTGAACCTTGATGTCTTCTAGGGACGAAATACGAAGCTGAAGACGATGTTTGTAATGGTTGTGCAGTATGTCTCTGGTTTAGGACTTGTGAAGACATTGGATTCTGTCTTGCCTTTTGTACAGCCATCTCATTTCCAGCATGGAGGGAAGGTAGTTAGTGATAAGAGTCTAAAACCTGTTTGAATCACTTTTGTTGATGCACTGAGTTTCTGAACTGGTTATAGAACTGACTAACGTTTCACTAGAGTCGGAGATCTGAATCGTGTTCTCTATGTTGAGTACAGCAGGTTATTGAAGGTCATTCATGCTTTCGACATGCAATAATAAGTATATACGTATATAGATATACAGGAATAATCCTCATTGTCACTATGTTTAATGAATTTTTAAGTATTGGTTTTCGTAGGGATTTTGTTTGATTGCATGGAGGATTTAATCATGGCTCAATGGTCTACGAGATTGCCTTGTAACCAGAAGGTCCTGGGTTCGAATCCCGGTGGGTGCGTACTGCTGAGGAGTCCCAAACTAGGACGAAACGGCTGTCCAGTACTCCCAGGTTTTCCAGTGGTTCTCTAACTGATGTCAGCTCATGATTAAATCCTCCATGCAATCAAACAAAATCCCTACAAAAACCAATACTTGAAAATTCATCTGATGCTCACTAGTGACTGGCCCTATTCAGGCAGTTAACCTGGGGTTCTAGTGGGAAGCCGTGACCAGTAGGGTACAGCAGGTCGAAGATGAGGCAGTAACTCATCGAAGAAGACATTGCGAAGTGGTCGCGCTATGTCGTGAACTGGCAGAAGTTAGAATTCAAGGACCATTGGATCGGGTCCCAGTGGCTCAATGGTCTACGAGATCGCCTTGTAACCAGAAGGTCCTGGGTTCGAATCCCGGTGGGTGCGTACTGCTGAGGAGTCCCAAACTAGGACGAAACGGCTGTCCAGTACTCCCAGGTTTTCCAGTGGTTCTCTAACTGATGTCAGCTCATGATTAATGAATTTTTATTTATACCTGAATTAAGGGAGTGAAATTAGGTTTATCATTCTCAATCGAAATCAATAATCATTCACAATAGGACGTCAAGGTTATATAGCATACTGCTTTGACATTCCTGCTCAGCAATCTTGTATTTATCTGAATAATTAATCAAACCAACACATTTCACACATCTGCTTTTTAAAAACACTCACCCACTAACGTAGACTGAATTCTTCAGCCTGAGTTGATTAATACTGGATCAAAGACAATTTGCCGATTTCTGCTTTACTTTTTTTTCCTATTCTCTTTAGAAAATACTTGAAGTTGTCATCAGGAAGAATAGTTTCTCATATCAAAGGTCTACTCAAAGTCTTGTTATGATATTCTTAAGTAGTTTAGAAGAGTAAATAAAACAGTCAGTCGATTCTGTCATGCATAATTTATAACACTAAATCGGGTTAAAAAAAATATGCAAAAGTATTTGCGCACTTAAGTGGTTGACTCTACTACGTAAATATATATATATGTATATATATCAAAAGATAAGACGATATTTGTTCCTGCATGCTAGGACAAATGAGTAGTTATCAGAGAGTAATACTACTTCACTGTCAGTTTATTCAAGTAAAATTGACTCATCAAAACAAAATACTTTAGTATTATTGATGTGTGATATTGCGATAGACCCCAGGGCGTATTGTTTTGCAATCCTCTGCCTCAACCCTGATACCACAGCATCAGTGATAGTTTGTTTTACAGGCAGGAGTTACTAGCCTCATGCACAACCCTCCCTATTTCTTACTCCGCTTACTATCATCTAGGTGGGGTTAAGAAGTCAATCTGCCAGGAATTGAACCCATGTCACATGCGTAGCTGGCAAGCATTCTAACACTGGACAATCAATAGACACTTTCATAGTTTAGAGAATTCAGTTGAATATCTGTGATTTAGATATGATAGAGGAGATTTGTAGCTCAGGTGGATGATTTTGAGATGGTTGTGTTCTCTGAGCTAGCTGGATAGTTAATTTCCGAAGTTTTCATCGCCCTGCTAGTCGAAATCTCCAGGGCGTAGTTCAGTCCAAATTGAAGTGAGCTTTTAGATTACTCCACGAGTTTATTATTCATCTCTCCTGATGACTTTAGATGTTATTGGTTGAAAGAAGATAAAACTAACATCATCTACAAAATGAATTGTAACAACTGTGAAAAACACTACATTGGCCAAAGTGGACGTCCCCTTCGTCTTCGAATCCACAAACATAAGCCATTCATCAAGAGACATGACATCCACTCCATCACCCATATCACTGCATACAGACAACCAGAGAAAACCTGGGACAACCAACGCTCAAACATTAGATAGAGGAAACACCAAGAATGCTAGAGAATTTTTAGAAGCCTGGTATTCCAGAGAATCATCAATCAATAGACACGTCAAGAAAGACAAAATTTATCAACCGATAGGAAAGAAACCTCGCACACAAAGGGTCAACGTTCAAGTCGAGGAAACAAACAGTTCCAATAGAAGTGGCCACCTAGGAGGGGTGTAAGAGCGCATAAAAACAGCCAGTCACTTCCAATGTCACCAGGAGAGACGGTTAATAAACTCGTGGAGAAATCTAAAAGCTCACTTCAGTGAATTGAAGTATGCGCTGAAGATGTCGCCTAGTAGGGCGATGAAAGCTTCGCAAATTAACTATCCAGTTCAGAGAACACTACCACGTCAAAATACCTGTGATTCCATGTATTCTGCTATTGTTGAAGGAAATTCCGGCAAACGTAGTCATCCAGATACACTAGGTGATACTGACATAATCGATAAACATTCGAAATTGATAGAGAGATTACCGTGTGTTGATTTAATTGGTGAGTTCATGACAATGGGTTTGATGAAGATACTGTTATAATTAACTTTTGGATTGAAATTTTATAATTTTTCTTAATAATTATAATATTTGAGTTCAGTGCAAGTTAATGGATTTCTTGTTTCAAAGCAATTAATTTCCTCTATGCATTTCGAAAAAAATAATTCGAAGAAGAAGCTAGTCGGCTATTCAGTCGTAAAATGCCACAAAGGTGGTCAGCGATTCGAATTTCCGCCAATGTACTCCCAAACCTCACCTACCATTAGGTCGTTGGTGTCTCCTAAGAAGAGGGAAGGTCGGATGTGAAGCTTTTTTATTCCTTTACGTTCCCGGTGGAACATAAGTACTTCAAGCTATTGGCTTGAAGTTTCGGTAGGAGTGGTGTATATTTTTACGGGATGAAGGTGCTAGCTTCATGTCCAACATTCTATATTTACCTGTCTCATTACTAAATCAGTGAGGTAAGGAGTCCGTTGGTCGCGGATTGGACTCCAGACCACATGTGTGGTTGGACAGCATTCTACCGCTGCGCCACACACAGAGTGATGCTAGTGGTCTCCAAATTTGTGTTTGCCTTAATATCAAGTGTGGTGGCTTTTATTTTTCAGTACTGTGATGAATCTTTCAGAGCATATGATTTCGCGTTCACTTATAAATGAAATGTAGTTCATTTTATAAAATTTTCTCTTTTATTCTGGAAAAGCTTTAATTAATCTATTATGGAAATATTGTTATCAATTATTACATCTATGATTAAGTACTTATCAGAGGCACTAACAATTTTCGGGGCAATCGATTGCAGGCCCACGTACTTAGAGAGTGTCAGCTTACTTAAATGCATTGTTTCAGTAGCCACAATCTGAAACTATTTTTGTAAAATATCATTTTCAGTAAAACGCTGTCAAATACAACATAGTGATCATTCCGGAAAGTATTGCTCAATTGGGCAGTTCATCCCTGGCTGGTAATGTTTCACAATGTGTGCACAAATATGTTAAATCCATCCGATGTTTTAACTGCGTTTCAGGAGTAATATACCTAGCCAACGAAGTTACTTCCTTCACTTGTCTAGGAAACATCGTTTCAAATAGAGGCCAGTGGAACGGATGAAGATGTCAGAACCTGCCAGAGTCGGAAAAGCAAGATACCTCTTCAACAACCTGAAACCAGCATGGAAATCGTCTACAAGTAGTCATCAGAAACAACAAAATTCAGATTTGCAATACAAATTCTTCGATACGAGTAAGAAACTTTCAGTAAGTGCCACGAAAAAAATCTCCAACAAATTTCAGACTTTTGTCAACAGCTGCCAACTTCTCTGGCTTCATACTGAGGGTCAAATGGCTAGCCAGCGGGTTAAAAAAGAATTAGCAGCAACAAAACTTTGGCTGCCTAGAAACAAACCAACCAAGAGCCGATTGCACAAAACATATGTAGGAGAAAATAAAGAGATGGAAAGACGCTGAGGAGATCGTCGAATGACGTCACGCTCAATGCATGCCAACGTTCGAGTGGAATCCAGATAGATAGCGATGAGTGGGTCGTCAGTGCGAGGGCGATATGGAGGAAATTGCGCCAGCTGGAGGAAGTTACAGATTACTGGAAATCATGGACTCGGCTGAAGAGGACAGCAAAGGATGGAACAAAGTGGCGATGTGTTGCTGAAGCCCTGTTTTCCATTCGGAACCCAAGGGAATAACAATAATACCTATAGAACTAATTATGAAGAAGAAAATCAGTTTAAAGAACTTGTAATGCTTGCAAACTACAAATCCTATTTTCTGCACGACCGACGAGGATTTGCTCAATTAAAAGATGAAGTACCTAGACCAGCCACTTC